ATTTACCTCACTCTAATCATATTTGAGTTGCTCCGAAGAGATACGGGCTCTGCCACTGTTGCTGTCATAATTACAGGCGGGCTTTCCTCCTCGACGTGGACTTTCATGAACTGCCGCACTGCTGCTCCAAATGCCACAATACTCAACCCGACTATGCAGAAACACTCAAACTTGATGAACCAGGACAGAATTTTTTCATAGCATCTCAGAAACATTTCTTTATTTGCTAGTGCTTCTGTGTTGCCAAAGGCATCCTGCAGAGTAAATATCAACCCCTGTGTCGAGAAGAGGGTTGACTCCAGCAGAAACTTCGTCTGGCTCGACCCGGTATATCTCATGTGCAAGATTGCAAATAGCCCGACAGAATTGACGGCAATTGCAAACCACATTGAGGCCCACATTAGCCATTTTGAGGCGAGGTTAAACGCATATGCATTAAACATGGCTGCAAAGACGTTCAGATAGACGAGTGATATTGAAAAGCTGTGCAGCGTCAGTTTTCTACCAACGGCCAGCGATCTTTCTATGGACAGTATCCTGTTGTTGAGGATGAAGAAGCACATGTAGGCTATGCTTGCAAGAACGACAGCAAAGATGACAAGAGTGCATCCTGCCCTGAGAACCATGTAGGACTTTGTCTTCATTAAGGAGAACTTCCTCAGGTGCTTTAAGGAGAATATTAACCTATTAAGTATTGCACTAGCAGCCAAGGTCCAGTCCGCACTGTTACATGCACATTTTCAAAATGGTGTGCTTTGTTAAACTTTTGCAATAGCCCTCCCATGTTCAAAAGAGCAAAGCAAGTTGACGAAAATGTCTTCAAACAGCCAAGACTCAAAGCGACACACGAGGTGAAGACACACTTGAGAGAAAGAACAGAGACTGAGAAAATCTACCACCTGTTCTCGGCTCCGAACAAGAGAAAGACTGTGTTCAGAATGATCCTCAGCTTAAAGCAGTCGGAGCTGGAGAAAAATGTGTACATGCTGGCCGAGAATTTGCTAGGCACCTTAATAGCAGACAAGAGCATTGACAGGCTATTCTACATGGCATTTTCCAGACTCCTCAAGACAGGAAGCACATCGTCAATGAAAAAGCTGTGTGCCGACCATTTAAAGGCACAAATGTGCAGCGACAGGAGCTATTCCACATTTCTCGAATTTCTTATGAGGCATTTTAAAAGCGCAATTGCGGACAACAAAAACGAAATCGCAGAGTTTGTAGATGACAAAAGCCTTAAGTCAAAGGTGCTGTCACTGAAGGAAAAGACGCCAAGTACCAGAGTCAGCTTTAATGAAGCATTTTACTACACAAGATAGAAGACGGCAGCAAGCGCACACATCGGCTACTAGAATCCTCCCTGTTTCTTCTTTACGGGATCGAGCTTTTGCTCAGATCTACTTTGCACTGCCTGCCTGTATCCAAGAATCCTCTTGAACTCGTCATCAATAAATGAGTATATTACACCTCTGTAGGGTCTTTCGTCTTCGTTATTTCTGGGGTTGAACATTCTTTTGAAGTAGTCAAAATGATTTTCGATGAAAAAGTACGACTTTGGATAGGCAGTCTGGCGTCTAGAACAGACAATCGCCCGCATCTTGCCGCGGGCAACAGCCTCTAGCGGCACCGAGTATGTAATTGGATGGTTCAGTCCAAGCCTTGAATACACCCTCTTGAACACGTTATACATTGGAACTTTGCCAGCTGCTCTGCACTTCTTTTTTGATTTGAATGTTTCTGGTATTGACTGAAGCACCGGGTGGGTGATTATCTCCAGACCCTGGTTCTCCAACTCGTCAAAAAACAGCCCATCCTCTTCAGACTCGCTGGACGACTCCTCGGTCGAGCATGCCTGTCTCTGCAGGTAGCGGTGTGCTTTCTTCACTTCGTGTTTAATCCTGGCCATGTCATTCTCGGACAGGCTGTCCTCGTCTATGGCAACTGCAATGTGGGGATCCTCCACAAACCTCTCGTTCTGGCCGAAGAGTGCAGTATAAGGATTGCCAGTGCTTTCTGCATCCAGAATGCATCTGTGTCTTTTTGGGGATCCACTGCTAGCTTTGTGATCGGCCTGGACCTGTGTCAAAGCTGGAGATGGGAGCAGCCTGGAGACGCTATTGGTCTGGGCATGTTCTGTGCCGGCACGCTTATCAGACATGGCACGCGGGCTGCGGGCTGTACGAACTTCGTGCATTTTAGCAATCCTTGGAGCCTCTGGATCACTCTTGAAACCCAATAGCTTTGAAAAGGCACTGGGCTTCCTATTAAACGCAGTCATCCCATACAAGCTATATGGATATGGAGCCAGGTGTTCCGACCTTGTCCTTCCTATCTCCTCTGTTGGCGTCGTGCCACTTTCCACACGCTCGCTTGGAGATGGGTCGGCCAGCTCAAGATTCCCATTGGCATGCACATACTCACAGAATATGACTTCCTTGCTGCAGATGTACGCAATGGTATTTCTGTACGTGGCTATGCTGCAAAGGCTAATGTCCAGATTCCTTGCAGAAAACCTCGAAAAGTCGTTCTTATCGATGAACAGCAGGCCAGAGTTGGAGTTAAAGAGAACTATGTGGTTGCAGCACAGATACAGCTTCAAAGACCACATAGCATACTGGATCCTGGCAACCTCTCTGTCGTAGAGCCCAACCTTGAAGAGCCCATAGTCGCTAGCCAGGTACATGAATTTCTCATCGAAGACACAGCCATCAATATACGAAAGCGCATCAAAGTACGGCTCTGCCACGTCCCCTGCTATTTTGTAGACAACCGCACGTCTGACAACAAATATGTGCGACGGTGTGGGAACTACAAACCTGCACTTTTTGTCAATCTTAATCTTTTTCACAAGCTTGTCGCTGTAAATGAGGACCGCGTCTTCTGTCAGTATGTAAAGATACCGATCTACAGCAATGTCCAGCGCCTTGGCCTCAATGGTGCTGGTCGAAAACAGCGTGTAAATCACCACCCTGTCGACTAGCATGAAGATTATCTGATCGCCGTTCAAGAGTATTTTGTTCACATCGCTGTCGAATCTAATCCTGATCGACTCCTTCTCTACAAGCTTGCAAAACCTGAAGAACTTTGAACAGCAATCTGGCCCTTCTGTCTTTTCACCATCCTCGGACACATGCGAGGATTTATTGCGATGGCTGGCAGCCTCACTGCCATCCCTCACGTACTGGACATTCCTTCGGAGGACGATCGTTGCTATTTCCTTGTTGTTGCTCATGTACACAAAGAACAAGTCATTCATGGCTGCCACTTTCTTGTCTTTTGCATATGTGGTAGTGGTGAGCGGAAGCGGGTCTTTCACATCGAACTCCACTGCTTCCTCAAACTTGAATCCATCCATTTTTAGCTTAACATCTTTAAAATAGTACAACGGCTTTTCATACTTCGATTGGAGTGTGTTTCTTGGTACATGTGGCAGCGAAACCATCTTCCAGGGGTAGAGTATAGAATGCACAGAATATTCAAAATGCCATGCCGAAGCTGCTCCGGTTTTAGGATGTTTGAAAGACACCGAACAGAGACTAGCCACAATGTGCTTACTTCTTCAGCAGCTCAGCCGCCCTATCCCTCAGCAGCTTCTCTACTTTTTCGCTCCTCTTTCCCAAAGACTTTTCACAAATGTTCATAGACATATGCAAGGCTTTCAGCTCTTCAACATCTTTGCTTTTCCCGATTCTCCGTATGTGAACTTTACAGATTTCCTCAAATAGCGATGCAACCATGCGGATGTTACGGCTGAGCATCCTGAAATTGTCAAACAACAGCTTGTACAATGCGCCGATATCCTCCTTGGCCCTTAACGACTCATCCAGACTGCGACTAAACAAAACACATATCCTCTTCAGGGTGTCTTCAGCGTTTCTGTCGGCTTCCAGCAGATCCATTTCAAGTATCCTGTCAACCAGCGAGTCCTTGCCAGAGTGCAGAGTATAAAGCTTGTGGACGAACATCTTGTTGGGCAGGATCCCAATGCTCATGTAGAATTTGAATGCCTGATGGACTTTGGCTGTGTAGCTTTTGTCATGCTTAGGCTCGGAAAGGAACATCAATATCTTTGAAGAGAGCCTGGTGAAAAGAAAAGTGGGTACTCGGACATCCTTCACTATTGGGCAGTTAAACCTGGAGTCCAGCATTGGGCTTTTGTGCAGATGCTGGCTGCCTCTGCTGCACCTCCTCAGGTCGCTGTCGGCGAGTTTGATTCTTTTAAACTTTGTCAGCAGTCCTATGTAGCAGTACAGCTCGTAGCAGAATCCATCGCAGACACACATGCTTATTATGTTCTCGAGATGGCAGACCAGGGAAGAAAAATCAGCATCCAGTTTGCTACTCGACCTGCAAGCACACACCAAATCGGCAAACAGTGCTGCCGAGCCAACATTCCCCCTCAAAAATGCATCGATTTTGCCTTAATAAAAACAGACAGGCTGGCATTTAGAAAGTACAGCGATGCTAAGGTATAGGATGTACCGAGCGGGTAGAGAACCAGCCACCTGATTACATCCAGGTTTCGTCTAAATCGTATACTCAAGTGCTTTGTTGGCATATTTTCATCGCCGGCCATGCAGACCTCCA